TCCCAGCTACTCAGGAGGCTGAGGCAGGAGAATTGCCTGAACCCAGGAGGCGGAGGTCGCGGTGAGCCGAGATCGCGCCATTGCACTCCAGCCTGGGTAACAAGAACGAAACTCCGTCTCAAAAAAAAAAAAAAAAAAAAAAAGAAAGAAAACCTTTGAACAGATAGCAAATCTCATTAAATTGGAAAAATCAAAGAAAAACAAATTGGTAATTCTATGGTTAAAATGTACTATAATAGAAAAGAAAAATTCACTAGATGATCTAAACTACAGATTTGAGATGACAAAAAATTTTTTAAAAAAAGATAGAACTTATAGATTAATGCAAATTCACCAAACATAAAACAGTCTGAACAAAGTGAACAGAACCTCCAGTTTGTAGGACAATATCAGGTGTTTAACAAATGTGTAAATAGGATCTCAAATGATAAGGACACATTGAAAGAGTCAGAAAAAAATTTGTAGAAAAAGCTGGCTGAAAACTTGGCAAATTGTTTGAAAAATATTGGCTTACAGATTTAATAATTTCAATGAACCCATAGTAAAATAAATACAAAAACACTTCACTCAGGCATGTTGTGGTAAACTGTTGAAGATGAAGAGAGAATCCTTGAAATAGAAACAGAAAAAACCTTGTATGTAAGGGATTTCATAATACAATAAAGGTGAACTTCTAATGGAAATAATGACAACCAAAAGACATTGAAATAAGATAATGTGAAGTGCTGGGGGGAAAAAGATGTGACAACCAACAGTGCTACGTCTAGCAAAACTGTCTCTCAAGAATGAAGGCAAAATAAGGATGCTTCCAAATAAATACATAACAGTAATGGATTACTAGCAAACCTGCTGTACAAGAAATGATAAGGGCAGTTCTTCAGGCTGACACAAAAGATACCAGATGGTAACTGGAAACTACAGGAAGGATAAAATCAGCAAGAATGGAAAATAATTTGGACAAATTACCACAAAAGCAAACTCAAAGAGGTAGGCTCAACATTCAAGCCACATTTTCTTTGCAATTTGCCCATTCTCTAAAATTAGAACTTTTGTTCTGAGAAGGACAAAGGTGAAAGACTACCCAAGAGGAGAACCTAATAAAAATATGAGACCCTAAATGCTGTGCCCTCACAGTGAGGGTGAATTGGAAGTAGAACAGCCCTGTGGAATTAAAGACAGAGATCAATCCTTTGGGACTTTAGGGAATTTGAAGTCTTAAATTTGGTTTAGTTTGCCTTGTTCTAAGACATTTGCCAAGTGCCTGGCAAAATCACCTTTGTAAGGAAATATTTTCATTGTAAAACTCATGTTATTCTCACAGATAATTTTTCAGGTATAGTATTCATCATGCAACCAAAGATAAATAGGCACACAAGTAAATTAGACTTCCATTAACAAGCACTAACAAAAACAATAATGAAAACAGACTTCTTATTGGAATTACATGTAAACTGTAAAATAACCATGCTTAGCATATTTAGCAGTATGAAAGATTTGAAGATAGTTGGGGGAAAAAAGAAAACTATACAGTAAGCATATTTGGGAAAGACACAATAAAGTTTCTTTAAAAAGTATTATAATTGATTTTAAAAACTCAGCCAGTGGGTTAACACCAGATTAGGTACAATTTGAAGACAGAATTAATGAACAAAAGATAGATGACAAGAAAAACCTGTTACGTAGCACAGAGAGACAAAAGGCAAAAAATATAGAAGAGAGACTAAGAGAAATAGAACATAGACTGAGACTCTCTGACATGTTTAATCAGACTTCCAGGAGGAAAAGAATGGAGCATGTACAATTTTTGAAGAGCTAATTGTTAAGAGTTTTACAAAAGTGATGAAGAACAACAATCTGTAGATTCAAGGAGCCCAGTGAATTCCAATTCAGTGAAGTCCTAGCAAGAAAAATAAAAATAAATCTGTTCTAGACACATGCGAGTAATACTGTAGAATAAAAAGTGAAGACAATCTTAAATGCAGCTGAAGAAAACTGAGAATACCTTCAAAATACCTTCAAAGGAATAGCAGTAATGAAAATCTGAGGACAGTGGAACAATATTGCCAATGTGTGCAAATAACTGTTGATCCTAGGACTTAATATCAAGTGAAAATTTCCTTCAAGGGTGAAGGCTAAGATAAATATGTTTTCTGACAAATGCAAACTGGGATAATTCACTGCTAATGGTTTCTTATGAAAAGAAATTCTACCTGTATTCAGGTAGAAGAAAATGATCCGACATAGAAGGTCTAAGTTCAATAAGGCTTGATAAAGTAGTGAATATTCATGTAACACTTAAATGAGTATCAACTATAACATAATAGAAATAATACCTGTGGGATTAAAGTAATATAATTAAATTATAGATTAATAACAGCTGGGATAAAAAGGGTCACTTCTGCTTTGGGAGGCCGAGATAAGAGGATCCCTTGAGACCAGCCAAGGCAACATAGTGAGACCTTTTCTCTACAAAAAAATTAGCTGGGCATACTAGTGCATACCTGTAGTCCTAGCTACTCAGGAGGCTGACACAGACGGATCACTTAAGCCCAGGAGTTCAAGGTTAAAGTGAGCTATGATCACACCACTGCAATCCAGTTGGGCTACATAGCAAGACCTTGTCTTAAATCAGTAAATAAATAAATAAATAGTTATTTCATAAAGTTAAAAAGGTTTAGTTTAGTTCTGCATCTAACATAACTTCAAAATAGTAAATATTGACCGATCTTCAAGGAGAAATGGGTAAATCTATCATGACTATCGATATAATAATCTATTAAACCACTTGATCTATTTTTTACCTTTTCTGTGTGTAATGTTGAGCAATTACCCACTTTCAAAAACTAATTTTCTGTCTTATTAAAAGTTGTTTGACAATACTGTTTTATATTATTTTATTTTTTTAAGAGATGGGATCTTACTTTGTCTCTCAGGCTGGAGCACAGTAGTTCACTGAAGCCTCAGACTTCTGGGCTCAAGTGATCCTCTTGCTTCAGCCTCCCAAGTAGCTGGGACTACGGGCACATGCCACTGTGCCTGACTAATTTTTAAAACAATTTTTTGGAGAGACAGGTTGTCACTTTGTTGCACAGGATGGTCTCAAACTCCTGAGCTTCAAGTGATCCTCCTGCCTTGGCTTTCCAAAGTGCTGGGATTAGGTGTGAGCCACTATACCTGGCCAATAACACCATTTTTAATGACAGCCTCATTTTTAATTATTTCTGGTTTTAATTTCACCTATTTAAAATTTGAAACATGCATTGAATTATGTTGCCTGAACATTTAATTGTTTAACCTATTCTCAGTTTTTAGACATTTGTTTTCAGTATTATTCTGTGATATTATTACAAGAATCATTATAGATAAGTGCTTTTATATACCGTGATTATTTATGTGAAATAAATTCTTATATAGTTAATTATGGTACCATAGTACATATACAATTTTAAGGCCTTTGCAAAGTGACTTTCCAGAAACTGTCATTTGCAATTCTCACAGCAGTGTATGAATAAGCGTATCATCTATGTGAGTAAGTGTGTCCAGCGCTACACCTTATCATTTTAAAATATTTTGTTTGATGCTAAAAAAAAAATCTTGTTTTGATGTATATTTTTTCATTGTTAGTAAGATTAAACATTTTTCTTAGTTTTTTTAGAAATCCAAGATGGTTGTGTTTACATTTATGTCTTTTAAATATCTAATCTATTTAAATTTTTCTGTAAGTAATAATAACGAGATTTAGTGCGAATTGTACCTCAATAGAGTCAGTAAGATTCTGGGTGGATTGTAATGTGAGGTTCACCACATCTGTGTTTTGGGATGCTATGATTAAAAACCCCTTTTTGGGTAGGAACACTCAAACATCAAAGGCAAGGTGGGTGTGGTTAGTGTAATGACAGAAAGTCAAGACAACAATCACAGTAATTTGAGTTATTCAGACCTGTGGTGTTTGCTAGTTGATCATGGTGTTGTCTAGAAGTGAAACAGTTAAGAAGCCTACTAAAACCTTACTTGATTTGTATACGCAGAAAGTTCTGTTTGGAATGAATAAAAGCCTAGTTTGAATCATAAAAACAGAGAGTCCTGGCCCCTCAGTCAATTCTCACACACGAGTCTTTGTAGACCCAGGACCCCTTGAATGAAAGAGAGGCCACGTGCCCTCAACGAAAAACCCAAGTATGCTATCTAAAATTTGTACTGTTAATCTTTCTCCCAGCCTTCCGCAAAGGGAAGCATGGCCTTTATCAGGGTAACAGTTCCCCATGTGCATTGGGGAAAAGCAAATAATCACACCTTTTAGGAACTACTGGACACTGGTTCTAAATGAACACCAATTCTAGAAGACCCAAAACATCACTGTGGCCCTCCATTTAGAGTGGGGGTGGGGGATCAGGTGATCAATTAAATTTTGGCTCAGGACCATTTCACAGTGGGTCTGGTGGATCCCTGGATGCTTCCTGTGATTATTTCCCTAACTCCAGAGTGCTTAACTGAAATTAACACACTTAGCAGCTGACAGAATCCCCACATTAGTTTCTCAACCTGTGAATTTAGGCTATTACGGTAGAAAAGGCCAAGTGGAAGCCATTAGAACTACCTTTATCTGGGAAAATAGTAAATGAAAAACAAAAACAAACCAGAAATCTTTTTTATTGACTTACAGGTTTATAGCAGTTCTATAGAATTGAGGAAACCCAGTGACTAATTTCTACATAAGTGCTCTATGCCTGTGGTGTAACTAATTTTTATAATCTTCCATATGTATGAACAGAATCTCTGGGCATTATTTTCTAAAAAGACACAGAAGCTTCAGAACTATCTCCTTTAGTGACCAATGCTTTGTCTTCGGAAACTAAATCATTTTTAGAAAATGTATACTGAATATTAATTTTACCAGTACATTGAATATTTACTTTGGAATGTCATAATTTGGAGCAACATGCGCACAATAAAATTATTAGTGTATTGGGGATAGTATTAATTTTCTTTTTGGTTTCTAGAAACTACCAAGTTTTATATGACAGAGATCATTATTCAGTCATCTGAGAGAAGTTTTCCCATCATGCCAAGGTACAAATAGCAAATTACTTTTATTTATTTGTAATTTCTTTTTTTCCCCTGTTCAGACCTTTATTTTTTTTTATTTTTTGGTTTAGAATTTATTTTTTATTTCAATATGTTTTTGTGGAACAGATGGTGTTTGGTTACATGATAGTGATGATTTCTGAGATTTGGGTGCACCCATCACCCAAGAAGTGTTCACTGTATCCAGTATGTAGTCTTTTATCTTTCACCTCTCACCCAGCCTTTTCCCCAAGTCCTCAAAGTTCATTCTGTCATTCTTATGCCTTTGCATCCTCGTAGCTTAGTTCCCACTTACGAAGGAGAACATACGATGTTTGGTTTTCCATTCCTGAGTTACTTCAGTTAGAATAATAGTCTCCAGTTACATACAGTATAGTATGCTGTGAATCCATTATTTCATTCCTTTTTGTGGCTGAGTAGTATTCTATGGTATATATTTGTAATTTCAAAGGTAGGGAAAAGGAAGTACAACTGATCATTTGGGAATTCATTTTTATTCATACCTTTCTTTATTTGGAAAAGGAAAGAGAAAGCCTTTTAGATAGTTGAACCAAACCACACATATAAAAGATTTGAGGACTTAAAAAAATCTTTTCCTCATATAGTGCTGTAGACAAATGTGCTCTTATAAATCTTCTAATTCTGAAAGTTTTTTATGCTTCTATTTACCAGATATGCAGAATCTTACCACCTAGTCACCAATAAGTTTTTGAATAATTTCTGGTTTTAATTTGAATTATTTAACATTTGAAACATGGGTCAGTTTCAAGTGACTCCTGTGTTTTAAAAACATGGTATTTATCTACTAAATCTATTAGTGTTTCTTTGACTCTTTTTAGTTTGCGAACAAGTTAACCATGGTATGTCTTTATTCTAGCTTATTTGCTGATATCCAGCAATTATGGCAATCTGAGTATAGCCTTGACTTTTATCCTTATGTAAATACTTCGATTCTGTACCTCAAAGCTGACACTTGAGGGAGATCCAAATGGAAAAAAATGTAGGCAATACTGTCTGATGTTTGGCAGGAAATCTCTTGCCTTCTTTTGTAAATTAGTTATCTGTTTAATATGCTACACCACAAATGGAATATTGACTTGTTCTAACATGGATTTTTTTCATTTAATAAGGGTGAATAGTTAGGTTTGGGGTGGAAAGTGTATCAAGGATTGGAGAATAGGTTTTAAGAAGAATGTAGCAAACCTGAGTACATTAAAATATATTAAAATCCATATCAGTACAGATTGTGAGGGAATGAGCAGTACATAGAAAAGTCTAGCATGCGGATGTCTCTGCCTTTTAGGTACCCTGTGGGTATTTTTTGCTTATCTTGCCAGTTAGAGTTATTATGAGGCACACATTGTGAAAATTGATTTCTGTTCAAACAGGTCTCAGTTTGTCCAGAGCGTGATTGCCCAGTGTCTGGTGCAGCTCTCTTCTGCTAGAAGCACTTTTAGATTCACGATTCAAGGTCAGGACAACAAAGTGTATATCTTGGTAAGAAATTATTTTATCCAGCTTCTTGTAGTCCATGGTCTCAGAATTCTTTAGTTTTTTCATACTTTTTTCTTAATTCTCAGGTGTTGAAAATAAGGGATTAAAAATGTTAATATCGTGCTGGGCACAGTGGCTCATGCCTGTAATCCCAGCAGTTTTAGAGGCAAAGGCAGGTGAATCACTCTAGGTCAGGAGTTTGAGACCTGGCCAACATGGAGAAACCCCATCTCTACTAAAAATACAAAAATTAGCCTGGCGGAGTGGCGCACACCTGTAGTACCAACTACTCAGGAAGCTGTGGCAGGAGAATCACTTGAACCTGGGAGGCGGAGGTTGCAATGAGCCAAGATGGTGCCACTGCACTTAAGCCTAGGTGACAGAATAAGACTCCGTCTTAAAAAAATGTTAATATCAGTTTACTTCATAAATCAACTCCCTTAATTTAATAACACATGATCAAGTGCCTCTATGTAGTAGGTTCTAGGGATACAGAGAGAAAGAAATCCTGATTCCTGCTATTTAGAAGCTCATACCACAAAATCAGGTTTTTTCCTCTCAGTTTGTAATGGCCTTTTTTTGGTCACTATAACACTGTTCTGTCTCACTTTTTTTTTTTTCCCCTATTTAGTACTCTTATGTTTAAAACATGTTCTATTGCTCCTGTTTGTTTTTTGTCTTTTGAGACAAGGTCTTACTCTGTCACACAGGCTGGAGTGCAGTGACTTGATTATGGCTTACCACAGCCTTGACTTCCCAGGCTAAAGTGATCCTCCCTCCTCAGTCTCCTCCCAAATAACTGAGACTCCAGGCGTACTCCACCATTCTCAGGCAATTTAAAACATTTTTTGTGGAGGTGAGGTCTCGCTATGTTACCCAGGCTGGTCTCGAACTCCTGGGCTGAGGTAGTCATCCCGCTTTGGCCTCCTAAACTTTTGGGACTATAGTGGGATTACAGGCATGAGCCACCAAGCCTGGCCTTCTTCTGTTGTTTTTGAATGCCTCTGATTCTGTGATATTTGAAAATAAATGCCTCTGATTCTGTGATATTTGAGAATCAGTGGTAATTTTTGAGGAAGAGGCTCTGTGGCTAACAATCATCCCAGTATGTACCACTAGAATCTAATATTACACTGCCTCTATTAAAAATAGTGTCCTGCAGAAGCAAATTTGGGGCATTTATCTGGATAACCAAGTATCATGGCCCATGTATCCTCTCTGCTTCTACATCTATTTTATTCAACCGGTAAACATGTATGGAGCACTTCTTATTTGAAAGACACTGTTCCAGGTGCTCAAGGTAGAATACAAATGCCTTCATGAAACTTAAAAGGTAATAGGGAAACATGGTAACAAAAAAGAGGGAAGGGCCTGAGGTTGCTGGTAGATGTGACTTTGTAGCTGGCCATCCATTATGGGGAACCGATGCTCTTCTAAATGCAGATCATTTCTATGAAAACCTAAAATATTTTCTGACTGATGTTGTACTAAATATACCTCACAGTTATCAGATAGCAGTTTTAGTTTTTCTTTTATTGTAAGTTTTCAAGTTGAAAATCAGGAGTAGGAACTTCTTAAACTTTCTAACATGAATTTAGATTTTTCTTTTTTATAAAAGTAAAATATTTTGGAAACACATTCAGGCAACATGAAGAACATAAAGAAGATGTGTCCCTTTCCTGCCTTACTCTATCATACTATTCAGGGGGCAATCAGTATTAACAGTCTGATATGTGTATTCCATTGTTTTTATTCTTCCCATATACAACTGTATATAGGCACACTCCCAGGTGTTTGCCTATTTGTAAAAAAAAAAAAAAAAAAAAGTATCACATGATTCGTGTTTTTCTGCAACTTGCTTGCTTCACATTATGTATCATGAGGATAGGTTTTATTAGTTTAAATATAGGTCTGGCTCTTTAATGACTGGTATTCTGCTGTAAGGCTAAGACCAAACTGCAATGAAAATAATTATTGCCTGTATATTTTAGTATTTCTTTAGAAATGCCTCTTTCTAATCTAATATAGTATTATAATTTATATATTTGAAACTCAGATGATTATCACCTTCCAAAAAACTTGTACTAATTTATCTTTATAGTGGGCATTTTTGGTGAGCCACCCAGACCCCATACTGGGTTGGCGCACCCATTCCCAGCTGCTGACAGTGTTGGCTGATAATGGCTCACAGCTGCCCCCTTCTCCACGGACTTCCTCTTTAGATGACAGGTGTTGCCTTGCATAGATGTTACCTGTCTACCACAGTCCTGCCTCCCTGACTCACCCAACCTTGGTCATCCCACTGCCAGTGATTTGATCCTGGGACACAGAAAGTGAGGGACACTTGTCTCAAGGTAGAACAAACTCTGTAGGTGAGATTCATGCTGTAGAAATCCCCCATGGATCAGGCTGAAACGCGATTCCAGATAATTCTATATCCTTGACTAGCTCTTTCCCCTGCCTTATCCCATTTCCTTCACTTCCTTTCTCCTGTGAGTATTCCCTCAGTGAATCACGTGCATCCAAATCCCCAAACACTCTCCCACCAGCAGTTTATGGGATGCTGACTTCAGACCCCTTTTCTGAACTGGATGTTATCAATCCTTTTATATTTGCCAATCTGATAAGTGAAAATTGGTGGCAAAATTTTTGCATTTATTAGTTACATTAATATTCTAATAAGTGTTTATCATTTATTTCTTTTATTAATTCTGTTTATATTCTTTGCCTGTATTTCTCTTGGGCTACTTTACCCCTTTATTGAAGCTCCATATGTAATAGTTAATAACTTTGTTATATATGTATTATTTTCTCCAAGTCAGTTGTCTTTTTTTTTTTAACTTTATGTCAGTTGTTCTACCAAATGTTATATTTTGAAAGGCCTACCTAACTTTAAAATTATGCACATGATTGTCATATTTATTTTTTCTGGTGTTTTCATAGACTTTTTTTTTGAGAGATCATAAAATATGGATAAGGTGACAATATTCTTATACTTGGACTTTCTCTTTCACATCTTTAGCTATGGCTTTTAAATTCAGATAGTTTGCTGATTGAATCTTTGAGAAATTCCAAATATATCAAAGCATTCCCCTTGTTGGAAGACACATTGAAAGCACATTCTGGTTCTGCCTGGAGTGCTGTCAAGGTCCTCTACCAGCCATGCATCAAAAGCAGGAATGAAAAGTAAGTTGTGCATTTGTTTTCTCATTCCACATTATGTTTTAGCTTCTGTTGCTATGTTGGTGTTAAGAAATTAATGAATTAAATGCCGCTATACCAGTCCCCTACTTGAAGCTTCTAGGAACCATACTGCTAAATATTATATGTTTAAAATAGGTCGAAGCATTACAGATGATTCATGTTAATATACAGAAAGCTTGCTTTTACCAAAAATTATTGTTTTTTTTTTTTCTTGTGATATAAGCTGTCTATACATATGGCTGCAGTACTAAATCAGACTTCAACAGTGATGAATATTTACAAATAATTACTTTCCAGGCATCAGGATACAATAATGAACAAAACACAGGCTGTACCTCTTAGCATTGTTATTCTAACAGAGGGAAGGCAGACCATAAACAAAACAGACTCATATGTCCCTTACTATGTGTCAGGCACTCATCTAAGAACTTGTGGTTTATTTAAGCCTAACAACAACCTCTATGGTAGATACTATTATCACCCGCATTTTAAAGATAAGCACACTAAGACACTGGTAGTAAATTACTCTAGTGAAAAATGAAGCAAGGTAAGATAGTTGGTGAGTGGTAGGATGGGTGTAGGATGTTGTCATTTTATATTGCAAAGTCAGGGAAGGTCCCTCAGATAAGATGAAATTTAAGCAGGTAACTTGAAGGAAGTGAAGTGGTGAGCCATATCTGATGGAAGATCATTCCCAGAAAAGGAAACAGCAAGTATTTTTATGGGAACAGATTCAAAGTTTATACTTGTCCTGTACTCTGAGATGGGTTTGATCAAATTTGTCCTAAGAATGGAAGGATCTTAGTCTTTTTCTGGAAAGTAAGTAAGACATTGAAAAAAATTAATTGTGTTTCTTATACAAGTAGTACCAGTCATAAAAGATTCAAACACTAAAAACATATATAAAGTTAAATGTAAAATTCTCCATCATATCCCTCTCTAGAAGTAAAAAGTTTGTTGTGTACTCTTCCACTTCTTTTTCTATTCATTTTGCACCTAAACATCGTTAGTTAAAATATGCTTGATATTTTGTGAAATAAAGGTGCTAGAAATTATTTAGCCATTTTTCTTTTAATGGATATTTAGTTTATTACCTTTTTGCTGTTATTAGTGTTGTACTCTTGTATATCTGTTTTCTGTTTATAAGTTTTTTATATTAGAGGAATTTCTAGAGGGACAATTATTGAGTCAAAGGGTATGGACATTTAAAATTTTGAGAGGTAATATCAAATTGTTTTGTAAAAAGGCATCATGAATTTATACCGCCACCTGAAGTTTTTATAAATGCCCATTTTCCTGCATTCTCACCCAAATTGTCATTTAGATTTTTGCCTATCTGATGTGATTCTAAAGGAAACAGATTTACTTGACACTATCCTTATATTTTACTGAGGCATGTTCAAAGGATGGGTATTAGTTTTATGCTTTTGAGACTCTTTTAGGGGGTTTGGGTTTTTTTATATTTTTTATTTTTGGTGCCCTTATAGTCAACAACTAAGCTGATTATATTCTGTGTTGGTGTGTGTGTGTGTGTGTGTGTGTGTGTGCGTGTGTGCGTGTGTGTGTGTACTTTTATATATTTAGGTTTATGTCATTAAATTTATTAAAACCGTTTATATTCATCTTTTCTGTTTATTGAAATGTGGACTTTTGTGACAGGTATGTTGAATCTCACATTACAATTACTTAATTTTCTTCTGTTTTGATACCGGTTTTCACATTATGTATTTTAAAGCTGTGTTATTAAATAAATAAAAGTTTGTGGCATGACAACTAATTGAATATACTATCAATAGGAGATTTTGTTCTTCTTCAATTTAATGCTAGTTTTTCTTTCATTCTAACTTGCTCTAATGGTTAATACTAAATGTCAACTAGCTTAGATTGAAGGATGCAAAGTATTGATCCTGAGTGTGTCTGTGAAGGTGTTGCCAAAGGAGATTAATATTTGAGTCAGTGGGCTGGGAAAGGGAGACCCACCCTTAATCTGGGTGGGCACCATCTAATCAGCTGCCAATGTGGCTGGACCATAGACCAGGCAGAAAAACATGAAAAGACTATAGTGGCTTAGCCTCCCAGCCTACATCTTTCTCCAGTGCTGGATGCTTCTTGCCCTCGAATATTGCATTCCAAGTTCATCATTGAGACTTGGACTGGATTCCTTGCTCCTCAGCTTACAGACACGCTGTTGCAGAATCTTGAGATCATGTGAGTTAATATGATCTTTTATATGTGTGTGTGTGTGTGTGTGTGTGTGTGTGCGCATGCGTGCGTGTGTGTATAGATATATGTATATATATTTTTATATATTTGTATACATGAACATTTATACATGTATCTTTATATATATGAAGATTTATATATATATGTAAAGATTTAGATATATATATCTACATATATCCTATTAGTTCCATCCTTCTAGAGCAGGTGTCCCCAAACTACGGCCCTCTGGCCGCATGCAGCCCCCTGAGGCCATTTATCTGCCCCCCCCCCCCCCCACTGTACTTCAGGAAGGGGCACCTCTTTCATTTGTGGTCAGTGAGAGGAGCACAGTATGTGGCAGCCCTCCAACAGTCTGAGGGACAGTGAACTGGCACCCTGTGTAAAAAGTCTGGGGACGCCTGGTCTAGAGAACCCTGACTAATTCAGATTTTGATACCAGGAGTGGTTCTAGAGGAACAGAATACTAAGGATGGAGTTCATTTGTTGGTTTTGAGGTTTCTGGAGTTGGCTGCTTGATATGATTACACCCAAAGATGCTAAGGACTCTACTTCTGATATTATGGAAAACACTGATAGTTCTTGGCATTGACTGTTTAGAGCGTTATGCAAAATAAATGCGTTTGACACTCCTGATTCATCGCTCATGAGAGTCAAGGAGTTTAGTGACTCTATATATAATGCCTTTGGCTGTATGTGGAGAACTAAGGAACATAAGGAAGTGGGTTGATTCTTCCTAAGTTCACTGGACAAAGTGATGAAGGAAAACAATGAACTCAGGGATTCTAACTCTCCGCTTCAGAAACAGATACTGAGCCTCAAATCTGCTAAGATTGCCCTAAGAGTCCTATCTCCTCTAGAGAAAGAGCTGAAATTGTGGAAAATCAGACACAAGCTTTTATCATGCGAGTGGCTGACCTGCAATGAAAAATGCAGGCACAGTCTCACCAGGTGTTTACTGGTGAGGCATTCCAGTTAAAGTGAGGGCATTAATTGGAAAGAAAATGGGACCCTGCAACTTGGAATGAGGATGTGTGGAAGGACTCTGATGAAGTTGAGGATGCTGGGCTTGTAAACCAATGAACATTTTTTGCCAGAAGAAACAGCATCCCTGACCCCAGTAGTGGCAACATCCCCTCTCAGACCCATGCTGCCATTATCTTTTCTCCATTTGACTGAGGAGATAAACCCCATGCTGCCTGAGGCAACAGTGATAGCCTCCCCTGAGGCAGTTGCCAGACAAGATAATGATGATTTTCCTCAGGAGCCACCCCCAACTCTCCTGTTTGCTTCTAGACCTATAACTAGACAAGTACCGATGGGCCCCTAGAGGTGAGGATGAGAGTGTGACCCATAAGGAAGTGTGCTACACTGGAAAAGAACTACTTGAGTTTTCTAATGTATGTAAACAGAAATCTGGAAAACAGGCATGGGAATGGATATTAATGGTGTGGGATAATGGTGGAAGGATTATCCCATTATGTTGGATCAGTCTGAATTTATTGATTTGAGCCCACTAAGTAGGGACTCTGCATTTATGGTTGCAGCTTTGGGAGATACAAAAGGTTCTAATGGTTTATTTGCTTGGTTAGCTGAAATATGGATCAAAAATGGCTCACTGTGAGTGAGCTGGAAATGCCTGATTTCCCTTGGTTTAATGTAGAGGAAAGGATCCAGAGGCTTAGGGAGATTGGGATAGTGGAGCGAATTAGTCACTTTAGACCTACTCATCCCAGCTGGGAGGGTCTAGAAGATATACCCTTGAGCAATGCCTGGTGAAATAGATTTGTGAAGGCAGCACCTGCATCTTTGAAGAGCCCTGTAATTGCTCTTCTCTGTCAGATCTAACAGTGGGAACTGTAGTCACTCAACTACAAAATTTAAATACTATGGGAATGATTGCATCCCAAGGTGGCAGGGGCCAAGTGGTGGTGCTCAGCTGTCAAAGACAAGGTAGGCATAGCTACTGTAATAGAGCAGAGACAAAGCAGCAATCAGAATAATCTGACTTGTGTAGAGCTCTGGCATTGGCTAATTAATCACAATGTTGCTAGAAGTGAAATTGATAGGAAGCCTACTGTATTCTTAATTTGTATGAAAACTTCCTGACTAATTTGAATTGTAAAGGCAGAGAATCACAGTCCCTCAATCAATTTTCAGACTTGAGCCAGTTTACAGACCCAGAACCCCTTGAATGAAGGAGAGGCTGGGTCTCCTTGAGGAAGGACCCCACTACACTACCGACAGTTTATGCTGTGAATCTTTCTCCCATCTTTCCCCAAGACCTCCAGCCTTTTACCAGGTTAACTGTGCAATGGGGAAAGGGAAATGATCAGACATTTCAGAGACTACTGGACACTGGCTCTGAGCTGACGTTTATTCCAAGGGACTGAAAATGTCATTGTGGTCCTCCAGTTAAAATAGTGGCTTATGGAGGTAAGGTAATTGTTGCAGTCTTAGCTCAGGTCTGACTTCTAGTGGGTCTGTTGGATCCCTGGACTCATCCTGTGGTAATTTCCCCAGTGCCAGAATGCGTAATTGGCATAGACATACTTAACAGCTGGCGGAACCACCACGTTGGTTTCCTGACTGGTAGGGTGAGGGCTATAATGGTGGGAAAGGCCAAATGGAAACCATTAGAGCTGCCTCTACCTAGAGAAATAGTAAATCAAAAACAATATTGCATCCCTGGAAGTACTGTGGAAATTAGTACCACCATCAAGGACTTAAGAGATACGGGGATGGTGATTCCCACCACATCC